TCTGATTGTATATCCGTCTCGCCTTCCCCTGAGTGTCGAGCGTCAACCAGATCCCCTGGTAACTCCTCGCAGCGCCATTCTCCTCAGACTGTAATGATCTATCTGTGCCTCGGCACTGTTCACTCTCATTCAAAGTGCCCTCATAACATCCAGCTTGTCATGCAACAGTTCACCACCAAGTGGTGTAGAACCATTTCATCATGAAATTGTTAATATAGTAGATTAGTTCTGAGATAACAAGAAGATAATCTACTATGGCTATTGTACGTAAAGAAAACTCCCATTCCACTACAGCAGATAACAAACCGTCATCTAATCGTGTTTTTAATACTGCCACTACCGATGAATAAAATTCGAATGTTGTCATTAAAGTACAGAAAACTGTAATCATGTCATTAAGATAGAGACAATTCTAATGCTGCTATAACATATAGAGACAACTCAAATCTTATCATTACAGGCACATAAAACTCTAATCATATCATTAGGGTGCAGTAAAAACTGTAATCTTGAAATTAAAAGCAACAAAATACTCGAAGGAAAGTTAATTCTACCATTTGATTTAGAGAAAACTCTAATTTTGTCATTATAGTCATAGAAAACCTGCCACAGTAGGTAGGGAAAACAACACTGTCTACATTACTTACGTCTAGAGAAAAAAAAAAAAAACTAATCCTGCCACAAGTGGGGGAAATAAACTTATTCTACTAGTATAGCTAGTGAAACTGTAATCCTGTCGTTACACGTAGAAAATAAATTTGACCCTGTTGGTTGACTAAATATTTGTGTTGGTAATCTGGAGTACTAAGAAGTATGCCACAACACCCACTTGGGGTCCGCATTAACCCGGTATATAGGAGACTCGCTTTCAGATTCATCTGCAGCCAACTGCTGGTGTTCGAAACCGGGCCGTTTCCGGGGTTCACCAAGCCTCTAGGTTATGGGTACCAGAATTAACACTATGGGGTAAACGGAGGAACGTCGCTGTAGCTACGGAGTTGCGTGCGTAGGCGACACAGGCGTACAGTTTCTTATCAGCTGTTTGTACTGGTGGCAGCGCACTTCTGGTTTATAATCGTGTGCGTTGACGCTGGTTCACATCTCTCGACTATATCTTTACCTTTGCCTCCTTAAAAGTTATTGTTATATAAGGTCGGCGTCTATGGCTTTAGATTTGTGAACGCGTTTCATAATTCCGACGTACACAGTTCAATTCCCACTGCAGACAGTATGGCATCAGACCGCCTTGTCTAGGTTAAGACAATGTTACCGGAAGCCGACTGTTCAAACAGTAGTGGCAAACTACTGAATGTAAAATTTCCGAATGAAAATCGACATCAGCCAGAAAAGTGACGCAGCTGGTTCTGCAACGTTCTGTAAAGGTTCCTCCTCCAAATGTGTTCAGTCGTGTCTGTCTGTCTGTCTGTCTGTCTGTCTGTATATATGTGTGTGTGTGCGCACATCCGGTCTAAAGAGCAGGAGAAAATTAAAGGATGAGGAAATGGGGAAGGAAGGAAGGAAGAAGAAGAAGATGTGGTAGTAGAAGGATAGAAGGCAAGGGGGGGGGAGGGGGGGGGGGAAACAGTTTAGCAGTTTGTACCCTCGCTTAACCTCAATTTCCTTTTCATTTTTATCGTGACCTGTTTTTCTGCTGCTGGTGCGGATTTTGGGCTCCCACCCCCCCCCCCCCCCACTTTAATACTTGTTAATTATAAACAAAAATTGGAAATTCGTAATAATAACCAGTGCGAAGCCGTATGCAGTACCGCCACAGTTTTTCCTAGAGAGAAAAAAAAACCACTTTATATTCACATATACAAGGCTCTCCCCACCCCCTCCCCTTGAAGATCTGATGTAAAGTGAAGGGTACCTTTACATACCAAAGGAGCATCGAGTGTATGAGACTAGACTCATTTTTTTAGAACCTCGACCGCCTTCACTTCCCAGGGCGTAATACGGACACTTTTTCCGCCATTATAAAAAAAACACAAACATTGATCCTAACTACAGTCGTATATCAGAATGATACAAGGCATGATTCTAACTACAGTCGTAAATCAAAATGATACAAGGCATGATTCTAACTACAGTCGTATATCAGAATGATACAACGCGTAATCCTAACTACAGTCGTATATCAGAATGATACAAGGCATGATCCTAACTACAGTCGTATATCAGAATGATACAAGGCGTGATACTAACTAAAGTCAAACGGACATATATATAACCAGATTACGGCCAGTACCATTAGTACTGGGAGTCATCGTGGAAGGTCGTGGGTTCGTTCTCTGACAGAGCCGGACTTTTCCAAAAAATGACCTTGGCTTTCAGGTCGACCCAGCCTTGAGTGGGTACCTGGTGCAGTTCCGGGAAGTAAAGGCGGCCGTCGTGATGCTGGCCACATCACCAATCTTGTGCCGATTGTTCTGTAAAATATAGGTCAAGCCCCATATGCCCTATACACCTAAAGGCGTGGAAAAGGGTCCTTTACTTTACTTACTTACCATTAGTACTAGACACTTACATCCTCCAATGAACGTAGAGTTGTGACAACAGAGATGAAATTAAATGCCTTAGAAGAGCTGCAGGAGTTTCAAGGAAAGACAGAATACGAAATCGTGAAAACAGACGAATGCCAGGAATAAAGCCAGTTTTACAAGTCATCAAAGAACAACAAATGAAGTGGTTTGGTCACCTAACAAGAACGCCCTGTAACTGTCTGCCACAGCGAGCCACACTAAAACGTTACAACGGGTATAGAGCGAGTGGAAGACCTCGGAAAATATGGAGTGATGGCATTAAGAACAGCCTTACAGAAATGAACATCAGTCTTAATAGTGCTCTTGACAGAGTTCATCAACGTACATCACATCTCCCCCCGACACTTCAATGAGATACACGGTGGAAGAGAAGAAGAAGTACTGGAACTGGCTGCTGAAGATGAGGACGGAGCACGCATGGGAATGCCCCGAGTGCTCTGATGTCAATTCTGACTCAACTCAACTAATTAGTATAACAACTTCATATAATACATTAAAACCATGTTAACCCGAACTCTCTTAAAAGCACTCGGTTAACATGAACATAATTTCCACGAACTCGATTTTCAGTCTCTTGGAATTCGTGTTAAACGGGTTTTACTGCAAAACTAGTTAAATTAACACATGCGCTACTGAACGTTACATTTTGTCTAAAAAAAAAAACTACCAAAAAAAAAAAAAAAAACCGCTGGGTTTGGTTCTGCGACGTACTGTAAAGGATACTCAACTAAAGTTTTGGTAATGAAACAGTTGATGAAGCCGTCAAGGTTGCCCTAATTGTAACATATGAGGAGTTTGAACAGGGTATCCATGGATATGTCATGTTGGATTCGCATCCAGAACAACACTCCGGGTTGCTGGAGTGTTACACCTTTATTTTGCAACTCGGAAGAAAAAAAATAGAGAATGAATAAATCAACAAGAATTTACATAACTGAATGTTGAATTTCGAATTAAGAATCGACTTAATAGCACTCGGAACACTCCCATAAGCGCCCCGTCCTCATCTTCAGTAACAAGCGAAGAGTTCCAATTCTGATGGCACCAATAACTGATTGTATTTCCGTCTCGCCTTTCCCTTGAGTGTTTAGCGTCGGGGTGTCCGATTGTATATCCCTCTCGCCTTTCCCTTGAGTGTTTAGCGTCGGGGTGTCCGATTGTATATCCCTCTCACCTTTCCCTTGAGTGTTCAGCGTCGGGGTGTCCGATTGTATATCCCTCTCGCCTTTCCCTTGAGTGTTCAGCGTCGGGGTGTCCGATTGTATATCCCTCTCACCTTTCCCTTGAGTGTTCAGCGTCGGGGTGTCCGATTGTATATCCCTCTCGCCTTTCCCTTGAGTGTTCAGCGTCGGGGTGTCCGATTGTATATCCTTCTCACCTTTCCCTTGAGTGTTCAGCGTCGGGGTGTCCGATTGTATATCCCTCTCGCCTTTCCCTTGAGTGTTCAGCGTCGGGGTGTCCGATTGTATATCCCTCTCGCCTTTCCCTTGAGTGTTCAGCATCGGGGTGTCTGATTGTATATCCCTCTCACCTTTCCCTTGAGTGTTCAGCGTCGGCGTGTCCGATTGTATATCCCTCTCGCCTTTCCCTTGAGTGTTCAGCGTCGGGGTGTCTGATTGTATATCCCTCTCACCTTTCCCTTGAGTGTTTAGCGTCGGGGTGTCCGATTGTATATCCCTCTCGCCTTTCCCTTGAGTGTTTAGCGTCGGGGTGTCCGATTGTAAATCCCTCTCGCTTTTCCCTTGAGTGTTTAGCGTCGGTCAGATCGCCTGGTAACCCGCAGCGTGATGACCGTAATTATCTGTGTGTGCCTCATCACTGCACACATGCCCGTCCCGTTTTCAGCAGCCAGCGAAGTTTCAACATGTTAATAGTACCAGTGGCTGCCTGATTAAAAGTTCCACCTCTGTGTCTCCTTAAATGTTGAAATTCAACTTGAATATCTTCTAAACCTCTGGAAAACTGGCATCCTGCGCACAGAATGGCTTGCATCGCTTGAACAAAAACAAAATAATCAGTGAGTTAGTTAAGTTTTCGTCCGAAGGGAAACTGGCTGGTCATGTCAGTCTTAATTGACGAAATAGATAAGATTCGTCACATTTTGATTTTTTTTTTCCTTGTCAGTTTTTTAATTGTCAAAAAACTTTTATCGTCAAATCTTTATTGTTTATTTCATAGTCACGTTTTTTTTTTGGGGGGGGGGGGGGGGGGCATTCATTGTCGCATTTTTATTGTTTATTTCATCATCAGATTGTTATTGTTTATTTCATCGTCAGATTTGTTTTTAAATTTTATTGTCACATTGTTTATTTCATCGTTAAACTTTCTTTATTTCATCGTCACAATTTTTCGGGGTTTATTTAATCGTTGCATTTTTGGGTGGGGGGGGGGGGTGGGGGGGGGGTATTTAATCGTCACATTTTAATTGTTTATTTTATCGTCTTATTTTGTCCCCAGGACCTGCTTTATACAACTGAATCAGAGATAAAAGAACTTGGGATCAGAAATGGAGGACACCGTGCTAAAATTATCTCCAGTCTGAGAATACTCAAAGACAAATATGAGAAAGGTGAGTATTTGAAGAGAGAGAGAGAGAGAGAGAGAGAGAGAGAGAGAGAGAGAGAGAGAGAGAGAGAGAGAGAGAGAGAGAGAGAGAGAGAGAGAGAGAGAAGGCAGGCGTTATAAAAGTGGGGAGGAAGAAAGGGTTAGATAGGATAAGGAATACTAAAAGGAAGAAGACAGTTTGAGAGAGGATGAGAGACAGTGTAGGAGAGAAGGGGAGAGACGGAAGAAAAGATGATGAGATAAGAAAATGAGAGAGGGGAGAGGTTGAGACAGAAAGACAGAAAAAAAGTTAGAGAGGATTTGGGGACATTGGAGAGAAAGTCAGGGCGACAGCGAAAGGACGAGGGAGGTCGGGAGAGAGGTCGATGTTAATCTCACTGTATTAGTAAATGGTTGTAGCAGAGAACAAGGTCCTTGACCTTTTACGTGTAAAAGGTCACCTAATAAATAGGCCATGGATATTTCCACAAGTGCTTCAGTCTCCTGTTACAGAGCACAAGAGAGGAGCATCTTAACGCATTGCACAATCCCGCACCGAAAGTAACTATGCATGTGTGTGTTTACCAGAACATGGTTGCCATATTGGCATTTTTGATGCCAGATTCCACAAATTTGGCATATTTGAAATGGAACTGGCATTAGATAATGAACTGGCACGTTTTGGCATATTTGGGTTTTTCCTGGCTTTTCTTATCACAATGTGCTTACATTTTCTTCATGGTACTTCCCTTAGAAACATGCAGATTTCCTAAAAGCAATGTAGAGACCGTCAGTTAACATCTTTATTTCAGTTTGACTTTGTTGTGATGTCCTGGTAAGGTCTAACGGAGATTCAGGCCATTTCTTATAATATTTGTTGTCTTCCTAAACGGATCATGACTTCGCTAAACCAAGGCCCTCTGTAATTTATGTTAATCTACTAGAATAAATGCGGGACATAAAACCAAAACCCACCACTGATATCAAGTGATTCAGACTGTTCAGAAACTACTTGAGGACAGAAAATAGAGAGGATATAGACCTAGTTCTATCTGTGATCGATTTTATTACTTTTACCAATGGCCTCGTCATTCAAAAAATGGAAAGAATCTTATGATATTGCAAGAATAATAGTAACTGGAAGAAAACATACACACGGCTCAAGAGATCTTTAGACGGATCAGAGGCAGCATATTGCAAAATGTGTCATTTCACTGTTGCACCAAGAATTAGTAGCATATCAAATCATGAAAAATCGGAAAAAACACAGGATGAAAACTCCGTCAAAAAGCCAGTCACAACTTATTACAACAATGACTCCTAGGCAAAGTAATGATAAAGTTAAAGGCAGCAGAGTTGCAACTTGCTGTAAGCATGACCTGCCATTGTGCAATACGCACAATTGATCATCTAAGTGAAATCATGAGAGCGCATGGTCGGGGGAGTACATTAGAGCACATACATTTGCATAGAACTTGATGTTCATGCCTGATTAAAAAAATATATAATAAAGCCTGCAATTAAAAATGACCTTATTGATGATTTTCAGAACAAGAAATATGCCATCATTATAGATGAGTTGCAAAGACTTCATCCCATCTGCCAAAAAGCTTAAAGATTTTACATCTTAAAAGGTTTACTCTGTATCTTCCACTGGTTCCAGTGAGGATGACAGTGAAGAATTCAATCTAGAGCTTTTAATGTGAAGTGGGCACAATGTTATACTTTATTTGGCATTTTCTGGCATATTTGGGGTAATGATTTGGCATAAAAAGAAGTTTTTTATCTGGCAACCCTGTACCAGAATACCATTTAACAGTAAAGCCTTGTTAACACACTAGCTGAAGAAAAACATTTGACTGACTTAAGTTTTACCCCAACAGGAAATTATTGCGAGCGATAAACACCCGGTGACACAAAGTGCCACCATTTGGATGAGGAAAACCGCGGGACAGGTCCCAGAAACCTTATTTAACCCATAGGGTTAACATTAGGGCCTCCGTCCACAGCCGGGGTTGGGCTTCACAATAAAGAAAAATTGTGTCCAACACGGGGACAGGCTACATCTCTCCAGAAAAACATTCAGGGGGTTCTTTTCATTTATTTCACTGCATTTCGGGTACTCGGAGATTTCGTTGGGAAATCCCGGGAAACTCCAGTATTATGGGGGAGGGTTCATTTCACGTCCTAACACCCCTATACTATTGGACTTTCCCAGGAATTTCATACGAAATCTCGGGAGTCTCCAGGGGGCCACAAGCATATGCCAGGGGTGCCACAAGCGTATGCCAGGGGTGCCACAAGCGTATGCCAGGGGTGCCACAAGCGTATGCCAGGGGTGCCACAAACGTATGCCAGGGGTGCCACGAGATGTATTCAGAAAGCAATGCTATTAACAAGGCTGCAAGACATTCTTAATGTACACTTACATTTAAAAAAAAACACAGATACAATGGCAAACTTCCCCGGTCAAGTAACTTGAAGATAAAATCAACTAAACTTCCCATATACATAAAGGATACAATAAAAAAATTCATCCAAACAGTTTCTTTCATCGCATTAAAGACAACTGAACATTAATCTTGCATTGTTTTTGTTTTCTTCTTCTTTCCTAAGTATTCCAACCGCCCTAAGGATAGGTGTGCCGCGACATTTGTATTTTGCCCAACAAGGGTGCCGCAGCAAAAAAAAAAAAAAAAAAAGTTTGGGAACTGCAGTTTTAGAGCATGCATTGTCCCTGTTGCAGCATACAGATGTGAGTCGTGGACTATCTCTCAGTCCTTAAGAAAGAGAATAGGGGCTTTTGAGCTGAAATGCTATAGAAAGATTCTCAGAATATCTTGGACAAAGAAGAGGAGAAATACTGACATATTCAAAGATCTGAACATCTAGGAAGATTGGCTAATAAACAGCATCCTTTCTTGGAAGCTGAAATATTTTGGTCATATAATGCGCCACGACGGATTGGAAAAAAAAATAACAGCATAAGTCATAGTACCAGGCAGGAGGGGCATGGGCCGACCAACATGAAGGTTGGCACAAGATAAAAGTGACTCCTTGGATATGAAAGTACACGAGGCGGGAGAACTGGTGAGAAACCGAGTTTCTTTCAGACAGACTGTGATGAGAGCGACGTTCTGCAAAGGACCTGCTACATGATGATGCTTAGTGTGAGTTTGTAAAAATAAGATCTTGATTGTTAGTTCCTTGTCGCGCGCCCACGTGGGTAAATACACTGATATAGTGAGGGTGTGGGTTTGAACCTTAACAATGCCCACCCACGTGAGAAACTGGACTATTATCTATTATCTAAGCTATGTTGATCCTAGACAGTCCTGGATAGCCAAGAAAACAGCGAGTGGCTCGTTCCATGAAATGAAAGTTGCTGTACTTGTATCCACAGAAGTAGCAGAAGGGATAGATAGATATCAGGATAAACCCACTGGTATATAATCCAGATACACAGTTAACCCCTGCGACTATTCTCCTCTCCTGGCATTACTTAAAAGCCCCCATCAAGTGATTTAAATATTTGTTAGCTAAAGTAAACTAATATGCACCAAGACACTTGAACCTAAGTACACAATTTACTCAACTATTTTGTAACAACATCAAACATGATTTAATTTGAATAAATCAAAATTAAAATGAACTTGATTAGGCTAGTAGAGTTGAGGGAGTGTGATTGATGACAGTTTGTACATATACTTAACTCCTAGTAGGAGAATTCACCGTCGGACAGTTCTCGGCTTGAGACCCTGTCTATTCTTTCCAGTTTGTCTTCCTCACTGCTTTCAGCAGGTCGTTACACTCGACGGTCAGCAAATAATGGATGCCTACTAGACCCTGCCCAATGTGGGAACTGTGATAAAGAAACAAGCGCATATCTGTAGTATCTGCTCTAGGTGTACACTAAGCATGTATATTATAATAACATCAAACATGATTATTTAAATAAAACATTTAATCTCTCCCTCATTTTCACATTTACTCCTGTCCAATTTGGAAGGGCTTATGTCTCACATTCCAACTGTTACATCTTCTGCCTTCCTCTACACAAGTCCTGTAATGATAGTCAAATCTTCTACGTCAGGTGCCATCTCTCGTACAGACTCAAAATGACAATCAGTCAGACAGAACCAGTTCTGGAATCCATGCTTGGAACAATGGACACGCCCAGAATGCTAACAATAGTTCTGGGGCGAATCAAATAACAAATCTCATGGATTTACTCTCCGGGATCAATCTCCGCATTAGCTTCCCTGGAGTTAAACACATTTCAGTGTGTTAGCCATATGTAATACAGATTCACATTAACCACACGTGACAAGATTGCCAAAGTTATCTTCACGCTTGTGATTCCAAAAACATGATAGTTCATTAAATTTCAATGGTAACATCAACATTTAAGTTTTACAAAATTGAAACACACGTGCACAAAAAAACATTCATGACACTATCAATTAGGAAATAAAGCAATGTGACAGTGCCCTAAGAGAATGGAGAAATGTCCGCCTAGGAGTATTACGAAGTGATAAAGACACACACTAGAGCAAAAAGACAGTTAGATTTCTATCACAGAATATAGATTTGAACCTAATTTCGTTCTTACCTGGAAAATGAAACTACAATGCCAAAAGTTCTGCCTCAAGCTTAGGTTAAGCCCAACAGATGTCATGTGCTTGACAGAGTCTCATTTACCAGACCTAGAGTTCACCCCTTTATAACTTTTATCAAGCTCCTCCTACATTACGCCTAAAACCATTCTCATTCAAGGATATCACAGCTCCTCCCTGTGGGTAAGTTTATTCGCTGTCAGTCAGGGCTGTACAACACTTGTTTGAATTCCCACGCTAGGATCTCCTGGTCAATTCATCTGACCAGAGCAAATAGGCCAAGTCACACCTCCAACCTACTTCACCTGCCATCACAATAAAATCAGACGGTGTCAATTCTTCTGTTAACACTTTCTGCTCACCATGTCAATAGTGACCGTCGGACCTGCCCTCGAGTTAGGTAACCTCAGGGGGGAATTAAACACAATTAGCCGGAGTTATCTGCCCCTAATGGTCTGGCTAGGAGATAAATATCTGACACCAACAAATGGTGTGCAAATCTGCAGTCAGTAAGTCTGCTTGGTCAGTCTTATCTCTGTACGTTAACACTTAACATCTGGGGAAAAGTTTTAGTGTTGATATGACCAACAGTCCAGAAGAATTAAATGTTTGATCTGGTCGTCTTACTTAGATTAAGGATGTATCCAAAACCATTTATTTCTGTATACTTCGAAACACAAAGGAATAAAAGTAGGTTAAGGAAAGACATTCTGAAGTCACCGAGCGTATTGTCACATTCCTTGACATTTGAGTTAAAGAGGGTTTACTGTCTTTCATTTAATGTCATGTGTGTGCAGCACGAACAGTTTAAGTCAAGTAAACCACTTGTTTCTTGACATAAGATCTCAACCGCAGTCTTAAGTATACTTCTTTCATGCTTCCTAACTGTTGATACTTGGCATTTCAGGTCGAGTAAGCGGAAGTGGCGACGTGAGCACACAGCGTACTCCAAGTACCTCTTCTTCGTGAGTTAGCTTTTGATTTATTTGGTAGAAACCTCAAGTAGATACATATTTTATCGCTATTGTTTAAGATTACATTTCACCTATGGATCTATCCGGAGTGCTGTGATGAGAATCCTTTTTAATCATTAATCTCTAAGATCTGTTCAGCCTTTTGGCTAAAAGCAGATTTTCTGCACTGGGTCTGTCCAGAATGACAGCATTGGTTCCCCACAAACCAAACTAACTGGAAAAACCCAAACGGCAAGAGCCAACATGAAGCCCCTGTCGTGGTTTGGGTAGATAATACATTTGTCTTTCGACATGGTGGAGATTCTTTTCTCTATTCTCTCCACTGATCTGTGCTTGTAGTGTGACCCAGGATAAATTGAGCACCAAGAAATAGTGACTTTAAAATATGCAATTGTCGTCACTTTATGGTATGCATAGATGTTGAAGCATATGCTGTTCTAGAGCTTGTCTGATGTTATCTTTCCATATTCTTCTTGGTTTACCTCGTGATCTACATCCTTCTTTTTTGGTGTAAGCCTTATGGTGTCACAAGGCATTCTCTCTAAATGGGAAAACCATTTGATCTGCTGTCTTTGTATGTGAATTAGAATTTGTTCTGTGTTGACTATTTCTCTTATTGCCTCATTCTTCATGATTTTATCTCTTTCGTCACTCCTGCAGCCAGACTTCTCATTTTCATGGTCAAACTAATTTTATTTGCTGTGATTGGTCATGTCTGGCTTTGTTAGCTTTGGGTGGGTATAAATATGCTTTATGAGACAGTGGAAGGTTTCATGGTTGGGGTAATGCATGATGCCCCAGGTTTTATCACTCTGAAAAGGGAAAGGGAAAAAAGGAGGGGGGGGGGGGAGCAAAATGGCAAAGAATATGTTTTCAAAATTAAAAATTATGTGTTGTGCGGAGGAGGGGGGGGGGGGGGGGGGGTTGGGGAGATATTACCACACAGGTAGCACCTGACCTTGCTACACCATTGCATACATAATCTTAACGGTGACAGTTGTATTATATGTCCTCTTTGATTAGTATGCAATGAGCGCAGTGACTGCAATGACCAGCTGCAATGACTGCAATGAACAGCTGCAATGACCAGCTGCAGTGACTGCAATGAGTGGCTGCAGTGACCACTGCGTTCGTCAGCTCCATTTAGCCCCGTGAGCCTACTGCCCTGGACCCAGCAGTGGCGTGTTTTTTAATGTGAAATTTATGTTTTGTCAAGTGTGTGGGTAGGGTGGGAGGAATGTGGTACTCCTGTTGTTATTATTATCATGTGCTGTGAGTGCCTCTCCAGGCCGTAACCTTCTCTGTTAGTTTAAAGAGGTGACAAATAACCAAAAGACGTATAATAGTTTATGTATATTTATTGTGCACTCAGAACAGCAGATTTTCATAATATGAAACATAATTTTATTGAGATAGGTATCAGCAAGACTGGCTTTAAATATAACCTTCTTTGCAACCTGAACTTTCCAGTGAAACTGGCGGTCACTGTGTCTTACAGTTTAAAAGTTATTTCCAGCTATATATAACACAAGATGACATTCCTTTGTTCCCACCTAAAATCCCTAACCCTGGTTAAAGAGGTCCTATTGTAATATAGCCAAGACCCCTTGTCCTCTGGCTATTGTCCGAGTCGACCTTACCTGTTCACTCTAAACATTTTTGATATGATGTGATGTTCTGCAAATGTATGTTATTAATATTCTTATTAATTGGTTCAACAGAGCACCAAGCTCCCCAACGACTCCAGTCCCAGACTTCGTTCCTCCTGCTGTCTCCCCTGGGCAACTTCAGGCTGATTTACAAAACGAACTTGCAGGTGACCCATCCGAGCTTCGCAGCTGTCCTTGGTACCATGGCAACATATCCCGCCAAAGAGCTGAGGCTATAATTGTCAACAACGGTGACTTTCTTGTCCGGGACTGCATATCAAAGCCAGGAGATTTTGTTCTGACTTGCCGATGGAAAGGCGTCCCTCTAAATTTCATGATAAATTCTATAGTTGGAGACTGTAAATCAGGAAACGTGCCCACAGTATCCTACCAGTTTGAGGATGATAGCTTTCCTACAATCCAACAACTGATAAACTACTATCGGCACTTCAGCAAGCAGGTCACAGTCTTGTCTGGCGCCATCATTAACAACCCAGTATCTCGGTCTATGCCGTTGAGTTATTATGACACAAAATACGGTGCTTTGATCAATTTTGCAGCTGGCACTTACGCTACACCAAATCAAATTCCCAAACCCAGTCCACATATCACATCAACAGAGAGTCCCAGTTCAAGCCCACAAATGAACAGGCACAAAAATAGATGGGCTGGAAGCCAACCAGTCCTGAACATTGCAGGAGCTTCTGAACACACAAATAGTGCCAGAAAAAGGGAGAGCCGGTCGTCATCTTTAGAAAGATGTGACAGTTTGCCCATGATAAATGTGACGCCACCTGTAGGTCACCCTGCAGCTGAATCACCCCACTACACAGATGAAAACAAACTGCCCAAACCCTCAATAGCCCATATGAGAGCAGGCAGTGTACCCACTCTCGTGCCAGATAATTTATCAAATGGACGTGAAGCTCCTAAATACTTAACATTAGGCAGGCGAAAACTTGTAACTGCTGGTTCAGAAAGTGAGCTTTCTAATCGCCCACCACCGAAGCCCAGCAGGATTCCTTCCATAAAGTACAAGGAGAAGCCGACAGTGGTTGTTCGAAAGTTTCTTTATGATGATGACAGAGACTACTCCGACTACACGCAGGTGAAGGAAGAGCCAAGCTGGCTGCATGGCAGTGTAGAATCGATCCCTGCATTTCAAGAAGTAACTTTAAGAAGATCAACTCCTTCACCACCTACAAACCATCATCAGAAAGGAAGACGAGCAAATCTTGTTCACAGGGAGAGAATTTTTATCCCGTCTCAAAGCAGTGAACAGAAAACTCCAAACCTAAACACACAAGTATCATCCGGTTCCACTCCGAACCTGAACACCCAGGTGTCATCCAGTTCCACTGCGAACCTGAACACTCAGGTGTCATCCGGTCCTGAGGATTTCATTAAAGACATTGAAAACTCGAGAGTTCCACCTGTACATCCGGTTTATGCTGATGATGTTGCGTCTCCTCCTTCAAACACTTACCAAATTGTGGCTCGAAGCAGATCTTTCCGCTCGCCAGGACAGCAGGGTAATCAAGACAATGAAAATGTTACAAATAAAGCTTATAAAACACTTCCAAACAGATCTTCACAAGTTAAATCACGTGACAGAATAATACACAATGCCCAGTTAACTCCAACTCAAAGGAATGCTGATTATGATTATCCAAAAGCGCATGTTACTGATGATTCAGACATTCTGGGGTTTCATGACATGGAATATATGACAACAAGGACAATTACCAAACCACCAAAAATTAATCAGAGCATCATCGCTCCAGCCACTTTCAGAAGCAGTTTTTTACCAAAAGGACATAAAGTGTTGGATCAAACAGTCCTGCTCAATGTGAAGGCACTTATTCTGAATAAGACTCCTAGATCTATAGCTCTTCATTTGACAAAGTACGATTTATTTTTAATGAATGTCACGGAAGAGAGAGACTTAGGCCTGGGGGTTTTGTCTGGGTTGGAGCTGTTTACTCTACCTCAAGGTAAACAGATGCGGCAAGATGCCATTGAGAGATGGGACAGCCTTCGCATGTTCACCATAGTAACACTACTGACCTCACCAACTGTCAATGAGAGGGCCAGAATCTTGAACTTGTGGATACAAACCTGTCTAGAACTCAGGACAACAGCCGGTAATCTGTACAGCTTTGCTGCAGTCATGTCGGCCCTGACCAGCCCACAGATCATACGACTGACCGACACTTGGTTAATTCTCAGGCAGAACTACACGTCCAGTGCCTACGTCTTTGATACAAAGCTGCGCCCTGGATATGTCTCCCTAAATGATGCCACTAGCCATCTACCATTAAACAACATTAGTGTTCCGTATGTGACTCCAGTTTGCCAGCTTCTAGAACGTGACGTAGAATCCATTTTTCAGGAGTATTACTGGGAAAAAGGGCTAGATGCAATTGGTAGCAGCATAGATGTTCTACTGACTCACTTAGATACAGCTAGAATCATTGCATCGCAGGGTAACCTCTATCAAGTCACTGGCAGGGCTATTATGACCACTTTAACCCATGACCCGGAACTGTATCAAGTTCTTTGCCCAGAGTTCCACTTGCTGGTTCTCTGGGGGGAGAAGGGGTGGATGGCCAACAGAAGGGAAAGGCTGGACAAGATGGAGCAGATATTGTCTCTTCTGTCTCAGAAGTATCAGCCACCTGATGATGATGGCACTGCAGTCTAGGCCAGCATCCTGTAGTAAAGTTATCATCTTGACACGATTATTTCTGGGTGAGGGATGGGAGGGGTGGAGAAGAATGGAGGAAAGAAGAAAGAAAACAGAGGGAATAAAAGGAAGAGGGGAGTGCAGGGATGTGGAGAAGATGTTAAGAAAGAAGAGAGCGAATGAAGAGGGAATGGAAGGAAGAGTGGAATGGAGGATAGGGAAGGTATGTAAAATTTGTAGAACATTGCAGCATTTATGTAATCAAATGAGAAATGCAGATCTTGAGTGTATCAGTAAAAAGCATAAGTGGAGGTATGTAACAAATCTCTATATCACAAGTGTGAAAGTTGTGTGTAATAAATCTCTGTACCCAAAGTATGAAAGTTGTGTGTAACAAATCTTTATACCACAGGTAAGGAAGTTGTGTGTAACAAATCTCTATACCACAAGTATGAAAGTTGTGTGTAACAAATCTTTATACCACAAGTATGGAAGTTGTGTGTAACAAATCTTTATACCACAAGTATGGAAGTTGTGTGTAACAAATTTCTGTACCCAAAGTATGGAAGTTGTGTGTAACAAATCTCTGTACCCAAAGTATGGAAGTTGTGTGTAACAAATCTTTATACCACCAGTATGAAAGTTGTGTGTAACAAATCTTTATACCACAAGTATGGAAGTTGTGTGTAACAAATCTTTATACCACAAGTATGAAAGTTGTGTGTAACAAATCTTTATACCACAGGTATGGAAGTTGTGTGTAACAAATCTTTTTACCACAAGTATGAAAGTTGTGTGTAACAAATCTTTAATTCACAGGTATGGAAGTTGTGTGTAACAAATCTTTATACCACAAGTATGGAAGTTGTGTGTAACAAATCTTTATACCACAAAATAAATAAACAGAGGGGGGGGGGGGGGACCATTTGAGGCTGTTAAATATTATGAATTAATCAAGTAACAGAAAGTATTGTGAACGGCACTCATAGAAAGAAGTAGAAAGATAGAAGAACACACTAGACAACATAAAAATCGAAAGTTATAGTTACCGTGCCGGGAATTGAACCTTGTCACCTCCAGACGGAGGTGACAGGTTCTTTCAGGTTCACCTCTGTACCCAACTTTGGGTTCAGGTTCACCTCTTTCTATGAGTGCCGTTCACAATACTTTCTGTTACTTTATACCACAAGTGTGGAAGTTGTGTGTAATAAATCTTTATACCACAAGTATAAAAGTTGTTTGTAACAAATCTTTATACCACAGGTATGGAAGTTGTATGTAACAAATCTTTATGCAAGTATGGAAGTTGTGTGTAACAAATCTCTATACCACAAGTATGAAAGTTGTGTGTTACAAATCTTTATACCACAAGTATAGAAGTTGTGTGTAACAAATCTTTATACCACAAGTATGAAAGTTGTGTGTAACAAATCTTTATATCACAGATATGGAAGTTGTGTGTAAAAAATTTCTGTACCCAAAGTATGGAAGTTGTGTGTAACAAATCTTTATACCACAAGTATGAAAGTTGTGTGTAACAAATCTTTATACCACAGGTATGGGTGTTGTGTGGATTAAATGTCAATACTACAGTTGTGGAAGTTGTGTATAACAAATGTCTAAACCACAATTTTGGATCTTATGTGTAATATATCTCTATACTACAGGCGTGGAAGCTGTATGTAACAAATCTCTACCACAGGTGTAGAAGCTGTGTAACAAACCTCTATATCTTCTTCTTCTCTTCCACCTTGTACCTCATCGAAGTGTCGTGGGGAGATGTAACATTTGTTGATGAGCTCTGTAAACAGCACTATTAAGACTGATGTTCATTTCTGTAAGGCTGTTCTTAATGCCATCACTCCACAGTGGAAGGAATATGTCTGGATTTTAAAAACACTGAAATGAATGACTGCATGCCCTGAAACGAAAGTTGTCATTTTAATTGCTTTGAATCTATAAACAGCTACAGCAGTTTTTATACTAGAGATATGTTATTTTATTTCAGTAACTATATTGTAAACCATTAGTTATGCATGTCTTTCACTGCATGTCATTACCATTTTTTAGGACGTTGTGGTTGGAGCTGGGGGGGGGGGGGGGAGGGGGGCTGGGGGGTGTGGCTAGAGCCTCAGGATTTGAGGTCTGCATAGTTGGTGCATTCACCCTAGGCTCTGCATGTTAGGATTTTATCCCCCCCCCCCCCCCCACCTCCCAACAAAAGAAAACACACATACACACATGCATGCATGCGCACACACACAGGCAATAAATCTATCACCTCACTGAGGATTCAGACCTGGTTCTCCTAAATGGAGTCCAGTTTTCTGAAAAATCTTTAAATATTTCACACATATAAATTGTTAAGAAGAGACAGATAGGCTAACTTCTGTAATATCTTGCATAATGCAGGAAAATGTGTTTGGATGCCCTGTTTTATTGCATTTGGATACCTCCAAAGATGCTGCATTTATTCTTTCATAGATCCTATGAGGGCTTCAAAAAATGCTCTAGTATCCTCACACAGATCATACAGTGTTCTCTACAACCTATGGGCAGGTGCTGTTCTATGGACATTTTCAGGCAGTCCGGTAACAATATCGGCCTGATTGTGTTGTGTTGTAGTTAGTCAGAATATGACATGGAAACTGAATAGGTGTTGCTACATTTGTTCTCTAAGAAACAACACCGCTGCAGCCACGTGTATCAGACTTTCCAACCTTTAAGCATCAGCATACGTTGCATTAGCTGGAAAATGTTTACAACCTTATACTTAATAAATAATATGCTGTCTACAGTTGTTTATGTTTCTGTCAGGCAGGTTGCGTTATATTTTTCTTCTGTTGTTCCGGTCCAGGGGTGTTTAATGATTATTGATTTAAGAATCCATACCATGGCATTGCAGGCTTACCCATCAGTGCTCCTTCTCTTACAGCAAATATCCAAACGTGTAGATGCCAGATGTTTCCATAACACACTAATTACACATACGTTGTTTACTCCCCCTCATACGTCCCTCCTTCCCAGACCCACTATTAATTCTACATTTACGCCTTTTTTCATTGTTATTCATCTAAACTCTGTTGTCTTCTATCAGCATTTGTTCATAAATAGTCTTCAGAATGTCTCCTTGGTCCCATTAGGATGTTCTTTTAGCTGTTGCCTTCAGAATGTCTCCTTGGTCCAGTAAGGATGTTCTTTTAGCTGTTGCCTTCAGAATGTCTCCTTGGTCCAGTAAGGATGTTCTTTTAGCTGTTGCCTTTAGAATGTCTCCTTGGTCCAGTAAGGATGTTCTTTTAGCTGTTGCCTTCAGAATGTCTCCTTGGTCCAGTAAGGATGTTCTTTTAGCTGTTGCCTTTAGAATGTCTCCTTGGTTTAGTAAGGATGTTCTTTTAGCTGTTGCCTTCAGAATGTCTCCTTGGTTCAGTAAGGATGTTCTTTTAGCTGTTGCCTTCAGAATGTCTCCTTGGTCCAGTAAGGATGTTCTTTTAGCTGTTGCCTTCAGAATGTCTCCTTGGTCCAGTAAGGATGTTCTTTTAGCTGTTGCCCTCAGAATGTCTCCTTGGTCCAGTAAGGATGTTCTTTTAGCTGTTGCCTTCAGAATGTCTCCTTGGTCCAGTAAGGATGTTCTTTTAGCTGTTGCCTCCAGAATGTCTCCTTGGTCCAGTAAGGATGTTCTTTTAGCTGTTGCCTTCAGAATGTCTCCTTTGTCCAGTAAGGATGTTCTTTCAGCTGTTGCCTTCAGAATGTCTCCTTGGTCCAGTAAGGATGTTCTTTTAGCTGTTGCCTTCAGAATGTCTCCTTGGTCCAGTAAGGATGTTCTTTTAGCTGTTGCCTTTGTGGCCTAAACAATCTGCTCTGTTGTTTTTCTCTCGTCTCAGTAATGTTGATGTTTGGTGTCCATGTGTGCCGCAATAAAATAGGTTGAAGTTCCATAAGTGCTTCAGTGGTCTTAAATATAACACTTTAGTGCACTCTGCATCATGGTGTTACAGTTTTAACTTAGTCTGAGGCCCAAACATTTATTAGTTAAACAACTTCTTAAAAAAGAAAAGTTGGCGGTGGTGCATAGGGCATAAAATGATACTTATGTTTTATAGACTAAGTGGCACTTGGTCGATGATGGGTCAGCATCACTCTTGCTGCCTTTACTTCCAAAGAAATTACCTGGTTCCCATTTTAAGCTTGGTCAAACGGAGATCAGAGTCAACATTTGTTGAAAAAATCTGACTCGATGCACATTTGAACTCAAGACCTTCATACATGCAGGCAAACATCTAGCCACTACGCTACCTAGGTTCCCAAAATATCAACATTTAAAGTGAAACTTTCCTGGAACTGAAAGAGTTAAATAACCCACCTACCTAGTTATCATCTTGTATTGCATGTATAGTATTATCTCCCTTCTTCCCGCAGCAGGCATGCTTACAGTTTTTGGTGTGTGTGCTTTACTTTATTTAGAATATAGCAACTATGGTCCCAAAAAACAACATATCAAGGCAAAACTTTTGGCCAAGAGAAACATCAGTGCAAGTCAAACTTTACGGGTCGCTAAGTAAAATACAAAAGATAGTGAAGTTCATACAAGAGACAACATTGCAGATATAGATAATCTATTTCAAGCAAACGAAAGAAGAAGAAGCAACTATGGGGCTCCTTATTACTCCAGTGTTTTAAATTTGAAACTATAATACATTAAAACCTCGTTAACACGGAATCTAAGGGAGTGAACAATTAAGAGCTTGTGTAGCAAAAATGTGTGCTGACTGGGTACTCTTTACATCTCAGTACCAGTATTTTGAACATGAAAATCTAGTGTTCTTTTTAAGCGAGTTCATGTTAAATAAGGTTTCACTGTTGGTAAGTTAGTTGCCTGTTCTTTTCCCGGATGAACAAACCCAGCATTTTTATTTGGTTTAGCTATCGTGGTTTTTTTAAAGCAAATTTAAGTTCATTAGTTTGCCATTCCTTACTGAACAGTCGACTCTGGGATTGAACCTGGCACCTCTTTATTATGA